TAGGTTACTTGTTTACCTAATACAGTGTAATGCTATGTAGATGGTTGTTACCCTGTACTGTGTTGTTGGGGGAATAATGACAAGACATGAAGCAAACAATGCTCAAACGAGCGCTGGAGAGAGACTGAGGATCTGTGAAATGGTGGGAGGCTATAACAGGGTGTGCCTGCAGGTCATTTTATTCGTGTGGCTTTAGCGTAGTGCTTTTTGTGTGGAAAATTCAAGTTTTGCTTTTTGGAACTTTTATTTTTTCCTGAATATTTTTAATCCGAGTTTGGTTGAATCCACGGATGCAGAACCTACAGATACAGAAGGCCCACTGTATTCTGTAATTTTGCTCTTTTTTTAACTGTCAGTACTACGTGAGACGTCTTTTCAGAGCATTACATGTGGATCTAGTTCGTCTTTCCTAATAGCGGTGTCATCACACGTACAGATGTGTCCACATGTTCTGGTATTCATTGCCCTGTTGATGGAAGGCTGCGTGTCTTCTCATCTGTAGTTACAGCAAACAATGTGGTTATACAAATATTCTTAACAAGTCCTTTGGTTTCTTTAGAAGTGATTTCTAGATGTGAGGCTGAGTAGTTCAAGGGTACGTAAGTTTCTTTAGTGGGTACAGTGAGACTGAAAGCCGTAGGTTAATATGCCGCTTTGCTTTTTCAAGGAATGCAGTAAGAAAACAAAAACCGAGGACCAAGAAGATGCGTTGGTCGATGTGACGAGTCCGGCCCGGGGGAAGGAAGAAGTGAGTGTGTTTTCCGTTTTATATCAGACTGGAGTAAACTGCCGCTGCTGTCTGTCTTCCCTGCGGGGACTCTTGTTGCCATGCACATCACTGCTCTCAAACACACAGAAGTAGAACCAAAAGGGCTTTGTCAGGGTCTAGGCTACACAGGAGCCAGTCAGCAGTGCACGTCCTTCAGGGAAGTGTCTTCCCAAAAGCGCACCAAGCCAAAATACACTGCGTTTGAAACAAAGAAAGATGCCATCTTTGAGTAGAAGTAGTGGTGTAATATTTAAAACTCAAACTCTTTCTCTCAGGTAAGTTCAATTTTGTAAAACAGATTTAGATGAGTAATTTTTAAGGTATATCAAATTTCATAATTCTGTAAGTAGGTTCCTTGTGTGGTTCAGTCACCGAGGTTTTTAACCTTTCTTAGCTAGTAGTGATGGTTGTGTTTACTGGGCGTGTGCCCTGTGCTGGGTGTCCTAGAAGGTGCTGTGTGCATTTGTCTCGTCCCTGCTCAGCCCCAGTGTCTCAGGTAGGTCCTGTGGTCACACTGTCTTACAGAGAGAAAGATGTGGTAGAGACAGGTTAAGTCCTTCCAGGAGAAGCAGTAGAGGACTGTATTTTCCTTACAATCCTTAACGGATTTTCTCTCAAATTACATAGTCCCAATATGATGCTTACCCCACTGAGTGCTGACCAGGCTCCCACTGTGTCCAGCCCTGCACTGTGGGGACTGTGAACAGCACGGGGAGGAGAAAGGGGTGAGACAAGCGCCCCAAGAGCCGACCTACAGGGTGGGAGGGAGGGAGTACTTGGCCCTGGAAGCCAGTACAGCCAGTGCCCAGGGTAGAGGATCAGGCGCTTCCCCC